TCCCCTTCCCCTCCCCCATTTCTGAAGAAGGGTCTAGGCCCGAAACGTCAGCCTTCCTGCTCCTCTGATGCTGCTTGGCCTGCTGTGTTCATCCAGCTCTACACCTTGTTATCTCGGATTCTCCAGCATCTGCAGTTCCTACTATCTCTGAAGCATTGAATACAAGATCAGTTGTTAATTTTAAGTCTGAGATTGATAATTTTTTTGTTAACCACATGTTATTAAGGGATATGGGCCAAAAGCAGATAAGTGGACTTAGGCCACAGATTAGCCATGATCTCATTGAATGGTGGAACAGGTCAAGGGGTGAGGAGCCTTCTCATGTTCCTGTGTTTCTAAGATTGATCTATTGAAGTGGTACTGGCAAGTGCTATTAACATCAAACAGGAAGAAGATAACCACTTTTGTGACTCAAAATGGGTCAGACCTGTGTCAAGTAATGTGACTTGGATTAAAGAATGCCCCAACTACATTCGAAAGGCTAATGAATCAAGTCATAGCTGAAATATGTAGTAACACATGAGAGGAACATCTGAGACAAGTAGCAGACTCGCTTAAGCAATTACACTTCACTGGTTTTGCTATAAACTTGTCCAAAAGTGCATTCACAAGAGTAACAGTAACTTATTAGGTCATACTTCTCAGTGGAAGTATTTTACTAAACAGAAGGAGACTTTAAGATTGTCATTGGCTCTTCAATATTTTGAAGCCTGTGTTTGACATTGTAACAGATATACATTAATCTACAGTGACCATAACCCATTGGCATTCATTCAAAAGTTCAAAACTTGAAATGTAAGACTACTCAGAAAATGTTATTTCAACCGTTTAATGGTAAGGTTATTCATATTTCTGGAACAAATAATATGGTTGCAGATGCATTGCCCAGAGTGTAAAATAATGATATAAGTTAAAAGTTTAAGAAATGAAAAAATTTTGTATTTTTGTTTGGAAGGGGGTAAGGGGAGGATGAATGGATATAAGTCACATGTTTTCTTATTTTTGTACCATGTACCTCAGGGGAAACACTTTTTCTAAATGGTGTTTCAGATCAAGTGTGAAGGTATATAAAGGCTACCATTAAATTTTAAGGTCTCAGGCATTTCTTCAGACTATATTATACAATAATAGATTCCCTTTTATCCTTTTAAATCAATATTTTTTAAGCCAAATAAAACAAGTCATACAAAATGCCACATGCTATATTCCCATTTTTTCTTTGCATATTGACTTTCCAAGTATCCCTTTTCCAGTATGGATGACAGTTTCTGAGGATTTGCTCTTTTGTTTAAACAAAAACTCACTAGCTGACCCCTTCTATCCACCCATTCCAATTTGGAGATTTCTCCAATATCTGTTTTAAAAATGCAAAATCAATCCTCGGTCTTTTCTTCATTCGCACACTTGTTGAGTGTATTTTATTTCTATAGTGACTTATTATCATGTAGTGTTCAATGACTGTTGCTATTCAATTGCTTTTTACAATTTCTTCCAATATTTTTGCTAAGAAAAACACCACATCTACTGCCCCACCAAAAGTGAGATTCTGTCACTGGGTACCTTTGTATTACTAATCTGATCTTATTACCTTTCTAAGCTAAATTGCAATATTTCCTTCCCTTTCTCACAAGTAAAGTTACAAACTCTTCTGCACTCGAGAACGCATCGCAGATGGGCTTAGGAAACCTGATTAAAAACAAGAAGTTTCATGTTTCTGACATCTTGCACTGATGTAAACTTTAAAACAAAAAGCTTCATTTTTAAGTTTTTTCAATGTTTTGTTCACAAGAATATCTCCTATGTTGGGATTTTTCATAATTTTGTTCAACTGTAATACTTCAAAACTCTCTCATCTGGTCTTGTTTGGGTGTCCATCAATTCGCCTGTCCATTTAGACTTTGCATTTGATCCATTTCAGTTTTCTAAGCTGCTGCATTCTGTTTTTGAGGCCCTTTGGCTAATAGCAATGGGTTTCTTTTGTGGGGAAGTCTAAAACTAGGAGACATACTTTAAGAACAAAGGATCTCACTTTTATGATAGAGATAAGGAGAATTTTAGTCTCCCAAGGTCAGTTAAGAGTGTGGAATTCTTTTTCTCTAGAAGGTAACTGGTCTATAAATTTACACAGGGATGGGATAGATTTTTGATAATCATGGGAATTGAAGGTAATAGGATGCAGACCAGGGGTCGATACAGAAATCAAGGACCTCGGTGTTGCTACTGGTTCAGGACCCCAACTTAGTACAGTAGCCTTGCCCCCACAGTGGGGCCCAGAGATCTGGGACTTAGTTGTTGGGCCATGATGTACCCCCACTGCCCCAGGGACTGGTGCTGTCTGGAAAATGGAAGTGAGACAATAACCAGATCAGCCATGATCTTATTAATGAATGAAGTAGCAGGCTTGAAGAACTGTTTTCTGTTTTTCTGCTCCAATGTTCCATGTTCCCACATCTGTTTCAATGCCTTCATTTTTTTGGTTCATTGTCAATATTCCTTTACCTAGCTGCTCCTTGGAATGTTTTTACTATGTTCGTGGTGTTTTGTAAATGTAAACTGCTAAAGCACAATGTCAGGTCAGGTTCACTAATTTCAGTTTATCTTTCTCCTGTTCCCTGTTTGTAGATATCAATGATAAAGAAACCTCAGGTGCTAAGAGCTGTGATGAGCTGCGAGACCTCCATCCAGGGGCACTGCTTTACAAGGCCGCTGCACTCCAAAATCTCCCAGTCATGGCCGATGCACTGGCACATGGGGCTGATGTGAACTGGGTGAATGGATCAGATGAGAACAAAACTCCACTTATCCAGGCAGTGACACCGGTAAAATTGAAATTCAATATATTCGGTGGAGAGAGTGATATTTGCTCAATAAAGCTCACATCTATTCAATGGAGGGATTGCCTTCATTGATTATGTTTCTTTTACTAAGCAGTATATAAATTGAAAACCTTTAAAAAGCTCTATAGTTTATTCAGTTTTAAAATTCCTTGGAAAAATGTGGAAACAATGAACAAATGCAGATATTGCCTAACTTTTACCATGCTGAGGTTGCAGAGGTTTGCAGATGTAAATAAAATCACTAGACTAAGGAAGGATATATTGCTTTGGTGTCTCAGACACAAAATTACAAGTTTATTGTACTGGAGGCCACTACTTAATGTATCAAGTTTAGTGACCTTTCGCTGGAGAAAGAACTTGCATTTCTATAATGCCTTTCATGTCCACAGGATATCTCAACACATTTCAGAGTCATTTAATTACTTTTAAAGTGGTTCTTGTTGCAATGGAGAGAAGCACAGGAGCCTACTTATGAACAGCAAACTCTCTCAAACAAGCATATGAGATAAATACCAAGACAGTCTATATTTCTGGCAGTAGTATTTAAAGATTGAGGTTGGCCAAAGTATCAGGGATCTTGTTCCAATAGTGCCATGTGATTTAACAGCCATCTGAGAAGGTAGAGGGCCTTGGTTTACTGTTTCATCCAAACAATCGCGCCTCTGGCAGTGCAGTAATTCGTCAACAGTACACAGGAATGCCAGATTGAATTGCACAGCTACCATCCTGAAATGTTAACTTTGATTTCTCTCTCTGATGCTGCCAGACCTGCTGAGATTTTCTAGCAATTTCTGTTTTTGTTGTACAATTAAGTGTTTAACATGTCTGACCCCAGCCTTTTGACGTTAAGTTCAGTGCTGCCCACTGAGGCACAGCTGAAACACGAGCAATCCAACAATAATTCCTGCTCCACAATCTTATCAATGCTCATGAAAGATCCCTCTCACCCCGGTAATGCTCTCTTCCAACCTCTTCTGTCAGGCAGAAGATACAGAAGGTTCAAGAACAGCTTCTTCCCTGCTGTTATTAGACTGCTGAATGCACCTCTCTAATTTCAAGTCTACTGTTGATCTTGCTTCGTGCATCACCTGTGCAGGCGTAACCTTGTACACCTCGCTCTGTCTAAGCACCCTATGATCTGTTTGTTCTTGTTTGCTATCATCTGCCTGTACTGCTCACGAAACAAAACTTTTCACTGTACATGTGACAACAATAAATCAAATTAAATCTACCGTAGCTTGGTTAAGCAATGCCATACAGTTCCCTGTTTCAGTAGAAATCTTGACCTAATAATTTTGTTTTTAAAAACTGTAGTGGTACTTGCTTTAACATGTGTGTGTATGTGATTGACATCAATGGGTACCTTCTTAATGAGAGCTAATAGGAAGTGAGTATTTTTCTACAGGGATCCCGAGAGTGGAAGGTAAAATAGCCCAGATTGCTTCCTGAAATATTATCCCTCATGACTGAACAAAAATGAAAACATTGGGCAAGTGTATATTAGGTGGGTAATCTGGTCAAATCATGCAAAGACAGAAGATAACTCTGTGCTGAATTACATGTACTTGATGTGAAGATCCTGCTCCTCGAATCATTGAAAAATGTGATTCATATCCTAGATAGTTGGACTAACCATTGATTTTTTTTGTTCCCTCTTTACATTCCTTCTCTTCGGCACCGTGATATGTTTCCTAGGGCTCCTTGGTGGCCTGTGAATTTCTGCTGCAGAACGGAGCCAATGTGAACCAGACAGACGTCCACAGTCGTGGTCCTCTCCACCATGCCACTCTCCATGGACACACTGGGTAAGGCAGGCAGTGGCATTTGATGTATCTAACGCTGCAAAATTAATCATGCCTGCTGATTTGACACCATAAATTATTTAAGTCATTTAAAAAGGAAATGTGGCTAGTTCTAAATCAGAAGCCAAAATTGATTCATAGTGAAAGATCATGATTTGCTATCTCATGTCTGGCACTTTTTTTTGTTCAAAAACTTGAGCCAGATTTAGACAGTTCAAAACAACACTGAAAAATATTCCTTTATGCTGTCCCATCAAATATTCACAGCACAGGTATAGCATAGAGTTGGATACAAAGCAAACTTCCCTCAACAGTGTCACCATCAGAAATAAGGGTCAGTACAGCACAAGTTAGACATCGACTAAAGCTCCCTGCACACTGTTCCCATCAAATGTTCCCAGGATAGGTACAGCACAGGATTAGATACTGTTAAAACTGTATCTATACTGTCCCCATCAAAAACAACTCTGGCCAGTATAGCATGGGTTACATACAGAATAAAGGTCTCTTTACACCTCCCTATCATTAAATATCCAGGGCAGGTACAGTAAAAATTAGTTACAGAAGCATTTTTCATCCTCCATTCTGATGGCAGAAGAGGAAGAAGGTGACTTATGTTTTTTTGCTTTAGAGATACTGAAATAGGAGAAGGCCATTTAGTCCCTTCACTTTGTCATAGCTTTTGGCTACCTATCATAATACCATCTCAGATCACTCAGTCAGTGCTAAACTCTTCTGTAGTGCTATAGATTATGTCACTGATTTAACACGGCTAGATACATGCAAGTTGACATCATACTGCATTGCTTTTATCTACATGTTAACTGTCTATTTGCCCGATGACATTAATGCAGAACACTCACAAGAAGTTTCAATAACTATAGCAGCTTCATTGAAGTTGGTGTATTGTTATTAAGATAAATAATTATTCAGTTGACACCTATTGAAGTTACTAATGCCAACTCTTAAATTGTGTTTTTACTATGCTCTGTTTATTATAATCTGTGTTTTATTATAGTCTAGTGTGTCTGTTCTTGAAACGTGGAGCAAGCCAAACTGCAGTAGATGAAAACGGCAAAAATCCAATTACAATTGCTATCGACGCTGCAAATGCAGACATTGTCACGCTGTGAGTACCAACAGCATCCAGGATATCTTTCTTACCCTGTATTCTCTACCTCTCCACTCTATCTTCTACTACCTTCCATCCCCACTCTCAAAGACACTCACTTTCGCTGGGTTGTGTACAGCAGTATTCGGTCAGCTCTTGGTTCCTCACGCAAGGGCTCATTCCTCATGCCTGCATCAAGGCAATAAATGTTCATGGGATGTTGGTTTATGGTGAGCTGACATCCATGTGAGTCAATGAATAATGGCTAAAAAGCATAAACCCTTGCTTACTTTTCCTTTTATAGCCTGACTGTTTCAGTAGACCTAAAATCATTTATAGCAGTTGATGATTTGCACTGCCCAAACTCAACTAAGCTGGCAGAGACTTGAGACTGAATGTATGGTATTTCTGTTCTCTATGGTTAAATAACACAAACTACTGTCCTCAAAATTTATGCTAGCAGAAAGCCTGTGAGCAGGGTATGTAGTTCTGACGATAGTCCTGACTATTAAATGGTAATTTGGCCTTACTCTGGAAACCTAACTCTGGAAGGTTAGTCCTAGTTCTCATGCTTTCAATGAATTATCTGCAAAGTTGGAACAATGTTAATTAGTGAACATCCATCTCCTGCCCATCCCACTCCCCAGTGGTTAACCGTGCTAAAAGAAGAGTTAAATACAGCTCAAGCAAACTGTCTGCTACAACTCATCACCTCTGGACAAAAGATAAGGCCAGCCTTAATATAGGACTGCAGGGGAAGGATAGGAAAAGGAGGCAGCCGTTATACATCTCAATAAAAACCAAAAGAACCAAAAACCATTATATATCTCAAACCTGTTGCACCATTCAATAAAACTATGTCTGATCTGTGACCTAACTCCACATCTCCAGCTTTCCCAATATATTACCAAGCCTTTGGTTAACAGAAATCAATCTGATCATTTTTTTTAACCATTCATGGAACGGGGCATTGCTGGCTTGGCCAGCATTTGTTGCCCATCCCTAAAAAATTGACAACTGATCTACTATCAGAGTTCCACATTCCCACCTTTGTGTGAAGTCTTTCTTAATGTAATTCTGGAAAGATTAAGTACTAGATTTTTAGACTCTGGGTGAAGGGTGTCACATGAAATTGCAGAGGGAAGAAGTGGGGTATGCGGTGATCAGAAGGAAGATGGAGTGAAGGATTTCTAACATGGCCGCAGAGGGTAAAGAAAGACATTGGTCCATAAAATTTGAGTAGAGGCCAGGGGGAGCACTCCAGCTCTCCTGAATCCAGCAACATTGATTTTAGATATACCATGTTTTTAGATCACCTTGTCCCCTTGAGTAGAGGGTCCCTTAATATTCTTCAAGAACCTATGTACATCGTGGCAACTTTTTTAAGAGAACTGGATGCTGTTTCAAATGGCTGAATGGACATGATGGGCTGAATTATCTTTCTTTGATTTTATTATTCTGCATATAAGACTGTCTATGCTAAACCCTAATAATCTCCACACTGAATTTTCAGGCTTCGGTTGGCCAAGATGAATGAGGAGATGCGAGAAGCAGAGGGTGTCTTTGGACAAGCAGGTTAGTATTTTTGTGTCCAATGCTGCATGTCATCTATCAGGGTTTAAATCATGAGGTGTTAAATTAATATGGACTGTGAAAACCAAATCAATACGCACACACAGTGTGGGTGCTGTGGGTGGAAATAAACACTACTTCTACGTAGCATTACACCAAGCACAGGATATTTGCTCACCAAGCCTCTGTTTGCCTGTGTGCTTCTGACTATACTTGATGCTGAGGAGTGGGTCAGAGGGTTTCAGTTTCTCACTTTTCTGATCGCTTGCTTTCTTTTTATATCTTTTTCTTCTCCTTTCAGGAGATGAAACGTACAACGACATTTTCCGAGATTTCTCGCATATGGCCTCAAACAACCCAGAGAAGTTAAAACGTAAGAGTCATGAACTCAGAACCTCAACACTTTAAATGTTACCACCTGGCAGTCACCCAGAGATATCCTAGAGGCTGGCTGTACAATTCTATCACCAAGTGCAACATGCTTCTTCCAGACCAACTAAAGCACAAAAAGTGAAAAACAAACTGGTTGTCCACATAAAGCAGGAATATCATTTTAAAAAGTTCAACAGCATTGAGGAACTGAGAAACCCCGTTTCCTTTCCAGCACCAGGAGACGCTTGCTCTCTCCATCTCACTATATTGAAATCCAATCTAATTGCACTGTTCCTCTTGACGTCCATACTCTGGAACTCAACTAATGCCGTTCTCAATCTGTCTGAATTCAGCTATAGCTCTGGAACATCTCAGGATAACATTTCCAGATAAAGTTTCAATCGTACTCCTATTAGTTGTTACATATCCGAAAGTCACTAATCTAAACAGATCTTGAGGTTCAAATTCAGAATTATGTGAGGGGCAACTTTTTACTCCAGGCCCCATGCACAGCTTAAGGCTGCAGAAATCAGTCATGCCAAAGCAGAAGCTGTTAGATTCAATAATGAACAGCAGGATTCAAAAGAAATATATCAGAAATTTGAGGCAATGTATTAAATAGTGATAAAGTTCAATTTGAAAGTCTTTTTAAATAATACATTAGTTTGTAATGATGTATTTATATAAAACAGAGCTTTGCTTGAAGTTTTCAAAAATAAACTTTTTAAAAAGAAATGTATGGTTTACATATTTAATTGAAGTATTCTTGGTTACCTCAACAAGAAGTCAAGATAGAGGAGCCTTTAAGTTTTTTACATTTGATGTAATTGCTATTTTGTATTGTGCTAAGCCAAGAGATTCTGGGATCCACACTTTCCCACCAACTGTGCTGAAGCTGTTACAATCGATGGCCTTAGTGCCATTTGATTGCAGAAGGAAAATGTACAAGTTCCCTGTTTCTCATCTGTGCTATACTTCTTACAGGTTAACTTCTAAAGCCCTTCAGACATACCTAATCCATATACTGCTAGTGTGCAACAAGTATAGTGCAAACACACAGTATTAAAGTATATATAAATCGCAACCTTACATCACAAGTTTCAAAATCTCCCCTCCCGCTACCGCATCCCAAAACCAGTCCAGCTCGTCCCCGCCTCCCTAACCTGTTCTTCCTCCCACCTATCCCCTCCTCCCACCTCAAGCCGCACCTCCATCTCCTACCGACCAACCTCATCCCGCCCCCTTGACCTGTCCGTCCTCCCTGGACTGACCTATCTCCTCCCTAACTCCCCACCTACGCTCACCTTTCCTGGCCCCATCCCCGCCTCTTCGACCTGTTTGTTTCCTCTCCACCTATCCTCTCCTCTATCCATCTTCTATCCGCCTCCCCCCTCTCCCTATTTATTTCAGAACCCCCTTCCCCTCCCCCTTTTCTGAAGAAGGGTCTAGGCCGGAAACGTCAGCCTCTCTGCTCCTATGATGCTGCTTGGCCTGCTGTGTTCATCCAGCCCTGCACCTTGTTATCTCAAATACAAGGTTGGGTTGCATGATAAGAGCAGCACAATAGTGGTTAGAGGTTAAAGGCAATTGCATATTTCAAGATGGCTCTCTCAATATGAAGGGCTAAGCCTCATTACATTCTTTCATATCTCACATAGGTCCCAACGTGCTTACTTACTGTTTTCCCCTCCACCCACCAATCCACTGGACAAACTTTATACCTTGGGCATTAGGAAGAAGAGACGTTCAAGGAAGCAGCAGCGTATTTAACTAGCCTGTATTTCCTCAACATAGTTGGTAGCACATTAGAGGGATGCTGTATGCATTTAGTCAGTGGTATGTGGTGAGGGCTCTGCATGAGCACGGGCGAAGGAACTGAGTCAGTAACACCTATGTATAGATTCCTTGGAGGAGGGAGGCAAGTCACAATAATGCTCCAATATATGTAGAGATAGAGCCTCAGGTATCACCCTAGGGAGCACGATATTTGGAGCATCAGCAGCATATGTTGAGTTGATTTGATTTATTCTTGTCAAGTGTTCCGTAGGTACAGTGAAAGGGTTTTGTTTTGCATGCAGTACAGGCAGATCATACCATACAAAGTGCATTACGGTAACAGAACCAAGCGAGGAATACAATGTTACAGCTGCAGAAAAGGTGCAGAAAGAGTTAGATCAACATTAAATATGAAATTTGAGAGATCCATTCAGAAGTCTTATAACAGCGGGGAAGAAGCCGCCCTTGAATCTGTTGGTATGTATGTTTAAGCTTTTGTATTCTCTGCCCACCGTTTAGAAGAGATTCTAACTCGGGTGGGAGGGGTCTTTAATCATAGATAGTAGGAACTGCAGATGCTGGAGAATCCGAGACAACAAGGTGCAGGGCTGGATGAACACAGCAGGCCAAGCAGCA